TCCCCCTGGTGGTCAGTTCACGTCATAGCAACTAGTTAACCAGTCTATTGTCTTCCCCTGGTGGTCAGTGCATGTCATAGCGAGCAGTCGAGTGGCCTTAGCATAACATTAGCATATTACGCTTTGATTGGTTGAATAGCCAACCAGACACTTAGCATATTAGGCTTTTGTTATATAGGATAGTACTGGAAGTCTTAATCACAGTGATCATAAAAGAAGAAAAAATAAAAGGCATCCAAATTAGAAAGGAGGAAGTAAAACTGTCATTATTCACAGATGACATGATATTGTACACAGAAAACCCTAAAGACTCCACCAAAAAACTACTAGATTTAATAAATGAACACAGCAATGTAGCAGGATACAAAATTAACATCCAGAAATCTATGGCATTTTTATACACCAATAATGAACTCTCAGAAAGAGAAACTAAAAAGACAACTCCATTAACCATTGCAACAAAAAATTAAGATACTTAGGAATAACCTTAACCAAGGAGCTAAAAGACCTGCACTCAGAAAACTACAAGATGTTGATAAAAGATATAGAAGAAGATATAAACAAGTGGAAGACTATACTGTGCTCATGGATTGGTAGAATTAACATTACTAAAATGTCCATACTACCCAAAGCAATCTATAGATTCAATGCAATCCCTTTTAAAATACCAATGGCATATTTCACAGATCTAGAACAAATACTCCAAAAATTTATATGGAACTAAAAAAGATCTTAATAGCTGCAGCAATCTTGAGAAAGAAGAACGAAGTTGGAAAGATCACAATACTGGATATTAAGCTGTACTACAAAGCCACTGCAATCAAAACAGCCTGGTACTAGCACAAGAACTGGCATATAGATCAATGTTTCAGAACAGAGAACCCAGAAATTGAGAACCCATAATTGAGCCATTATGCTCAATTAATATTTGACAGTGGAGGTAAGAGCATATAATGGAATAAGGATAATCTCTTCAATAAATGGTGTTGCAAAAATTGGACATGTATATGCAAAAAAAATAAAACTATATCACACAACTTAACCATACACAAGAATAAACTCAAAATGGATTAAAAACTTAAATTTAAGTCATGAAACCATAAAAATCCTAAAAGAAAACATAGGCAGACATCTCATGAAGCAAAATTTTCACAGATACAAAGGAAAACATAAATGGGACTACATCAAACTAAAAAACTTCTCCACACCAAAAGAAACTAGCATCAAATTGAAAGGGAACCTACTGCATAGAAGAACATGATACATGTGATAAGGGGTTAATTTCCAAAATATAGAAAGTACAATATAACTCAACAAAAGGAAAGCAAATGACCCAATTAAAAATGGGCAGAGGACCTAGCCGGTTTGGTTCAGTGGATAGAGCGTCGGCCTACGGACTGAAGGGTCCCGGGTTTGATTCCCACCAAGGGCACATGCCTGGGTTGCGGGCTCAATCCCCAGTGTGGGGTGTGCAGGAGGCGGCCAATCAATGATTCTCTCTCATCACTGATGTTTCCATCTCTCTCTCCCTCTCCCTTACTCTCTGAAATCAATAAAAAATATATTTTTTTAAAAAAAAGGATTGGTAGAATTAACATTATTAAATAGACACTTCTCCAAAGAGGACATACAAATGGCCAAGAGGCATATGAAAAAATGTTCAATGTCACTAATCACCAGAGAGATGCAAATTAAAACAATGAGATACCACCTCACACCTGCCAGAATGGCTACCATCAATAAATCAACAAACAACAAGTACGGAGTTTCCTCAAAAAATTAAAAATCGAACTTCCATTTTGACCCAGCAATCCCACTTCTGGGAATATATTCTAAGAAGCCTGAAACACCAATCAGAAAGAATATATGCACCCCTGTGTTACCAGCAGCACAATAGCTAAAATCTGGAAACAGCCCAAGTACCCATCAGTGGATGAATGGATTTAAAAACTATGGTACATTTACACTGTGGAATACTATGTAAAAATGCAACTGTAAAAAAGAAGGATTTATTACCCTTTGAGAGGGACCTGAAGAGTATTATGCTAAGCGAAATAAGGAAGTCAGAGAAAGACAAATATCACATGATCTCATTTATATGTGGAATCTAATGAAGAAAATCAATTGACAAAATAGATCCAAAGACAATGAAAGCATGATTTCAGAGGGAAAGAGGAAGGCGGGGGAGAGAGTGGGGAGAGAGGGAAGAGATTCACCAAAGAACTTATATGGAAGGTTTGGGGAGGGGATGGGAGTAGGGGAAGAGAGGTAGCAAGTGGGGAGAGGAAACATCTGTCACCATTAAAGTGTAAAAATATCTATAGACACAGAAAGCAGATTTGTGTCTTCCAGTGGGGTAGGGTAGAGGACATGGGGAGTGACGGCTTAATGGTTACAGGGACAGCCCTTCAGGTGATAAAATGTTCTGGAAGTAGACAGTAGTGATGAGTGCACAACATTGTGAATGTATTTAATACCACTGATTTGTACAATTTAAAATGATTAAAATGGTAATTGTTATGTTATGTGAATTTTAACACACACACACAATCTGAGTCAATTTTATGTGGTCAGATGAAACCATGCTCCCTGAGGCACTTCCAGTTCCTCCATACCCTCACCACAAATGTAATGATTAAAAGAATCATTTTCTCACAAACATAAGGAAAAACAAATAAAAACTAAATTCTGTTGGAAAAAAATCAGTTTTTATCACTAGAATTCCTTTAAGAGTTCAATTATAACATAATAAAATTATATACCTAAAAATTCTAACAAGGGATTTCTCTAAATTTATTTTAATTTATTTGATAGGGAAAAAAAATCAAACAACATCTCATGACTAGCCACAAAATAATTTAAATATGTATTTTAAAAGAATTATGATGCTTCTGATTCACCCATACTATAAACATTATAATAGCATTTGAATTATCTTCTTATGAATTATATGAGCTAAAGGTGTTTTCTTAAAACATTATGTCCACATAAGAGAAAACGAATTGTTTGGAAAGAACTGGAATGAGGTACATCATTCTTAGAAACACATCATAATGGTAGGATTTGTCCAATGAAATCAATTAGCAAAGCTTTGGAGGGAATCCATTAAGGCCAATTATAATAGAGAATGTTTTCACTTAATCTAGCTAACTGTTATTTATTCAAGATGATCAAACGGCCCTGGCCGGTTTGGCTCAGTGGATAGAGCGTCGGCCTGTGGACTGAGGGGTCCCAGGTTCGATTCCGGTCAAGGGCATGTACCTGGGTTGTGGGCACATCCCCAGTGGGGGGTGTGCAGGAGGCAGCTGGTCGATGTTTCTCTCTCATCGATGTTTCTAACTCTCTATCCCTCTCCCTTCCTCTCTGTAAAGAAATAAATGGAATATTTTTTTTAAAAAATGATCAAATGGTCTAATTTCCAAGTGTTCATTTTCATACACAAAATGTAAGCAACTGCTGCCTCCTTAACTGTGTCCTTCCATCCACCCTTTTTATGCCCCTCCTTACCCTCCTCAGGCTGTTATCTATAAACTCTGCCCTTTCCTTTAGAATTCCTCCAGTGACATCTATTAAGGATTTTCTTCAGGGGAAAAAAAAAGAATTGTGATGTTTTGAGGTGTAGAACTTGCTCAAAGGAGAAAAATTATATTCTGTCTTGACACAATTATGGGGAGGTGGGTATGTTTGAATGCTGAGGTTAGATAGGAGAGAAAGAAAAATGTGTACCTCAAAAATCAAATGAAAAGCCAGAAATTATGGAAATACTAGAGATATTATGGTAAAATTGTTTAGAAAAAAAAATCTCATCTTCATATCATAACTTCTAAATATCATTTAGCCTAATATATTTCCACTACAAATCTATTTTTCTCCCCTGATTTTAAATGGAATGTATAGATATGCCCCTCCAAATTATTACATTTTATCCATTATAAGATTCCATCAATAGTAAAACACACCTTTACCCATTACTAAGAAAAAGACTTTCCCAATTAAACTACAATGTCCCATCAATTTTAAGAAAGATCCTGATTTAAGAAATGTTTAAATATAAAAAACAAAATACAAAAACCTTACCTCTTGCAATTGGTGAAATACGATTCAGTTTTTAAAAGAGGTGGTTTTGTGGTATTTTTGGTTTTGGGGTTTTGTTTGTTTTTTGTTTTTTTTTTGGCTTTATGCAGACAGAAAAAAATAGGTTTAGAGTGGAGACTAAAATAAATATACTTAAAATTTCCAGTTCAGACTTTACTCTTTAAATCATGCTGCTATTTCTTACTTTGTTTTTCTCAGGAAAAGGTGAAGTTTGAATAACCAGATGAAGCCCACAGTTCACCTGCAATGTAAAAATTAAACCATAAAATATGTTAACTTACACACACACACACACACTCCTCCCCAAAATAATACAAATAAAGATACAACAAACAGAATGTTTGCTCTTTGTTTCTGCTATATGATCATGTTCTGAGGATTTGCTGAAAACAGTAAAATCACAACTAAGAATTAAAGGTTTCACTGTGATTTATTTTCTAAAATGTCTGCAGCAATTTAACCCTCTACTTAGCATCTCAGGATCTAGACACTTGCCATTTCAGGCCTAAGTAAATATCTCAGTGAAAAAGGTGAAGGAGTTGGGAGCGTCAATTAATAATAAATTATTTTCTTAAGCTAAAAAAATGAATTGACTAGTGAAAGGAACTTAAATGAACCTTAGCCTTTCACAGCAGATCAGCTCCATCTCCTGGGAAGCGCGGATCTGGGACGAGACTGAACCCCATCATACAATATTAACGCCCTCAGGTGCCTGGGCCCGGTGCTCGAACCTCCAGCCGCGGCCAGACAATAGCTTAAGGCTCAGCCATCCTAGCCCCGATCACACATCACCAGGACAAAGACGCCACAGACAGGACGATGCGAATGGAAAGAAGGGAAAGGAGGACACCCAACCTACATTGTTCGTAGCCCGGCCAGAAACAGAGCGGAATTTCCCGGGAATCATGGCAGGCGTCAGTCCAGGATCTGTTAGATCTGCATTAGAAATGACGCTACAGCAGAGATTCAAAGAGACCAAAACGGGTCAGGTCCCAGGCAACCCGCTCAGGGGTTACTATGGAAACAACGATTTCCGGTCTGGTCCTCTCCCAAATCTGCGGTTTGTGGGGGCGGGGCCGGTTGGACCCCCGGTAGCTATGACAGCCACCGCTTCCGGTCCGCGCCTCCTCAGGGCCCGCCTCTGCTCGCCCAGCGCGAGCCAAGTATCCCTGTGCGGTGGCCACCTGCTCTCCCGCCGCGACCGCGGGAGGAGGAGGAGGAGGAGGAGGAAGGTGTCCCAGGGGCAGCGCTCCCCCACTGGGGGCCACAGTTCGACTCTCCTGGTGGCCGGAGGTAGGGGAAGGAAACGCGCGGGACCCCGGCTTCCCCGCGCCAGGCCGCCTCCGCGCCAGCCGTGGTTCCGCTTCCCCGAGGACCGGCCGCGCGGGGCCGCCGCGCCCACTGGCCGGGGGGTGACTTTGTGATCTGCGCTGACCACTGCGCTCCCGCCTGTTGAGACGTCTCTTCGGTGATCCAGAAGAACCTGCGATTCCCCCAGCGCCTGCGGCTGGTGGCGGGCGCCGTGTCCGCCCGGCACCCTGTGTCCCCCCAGTACCTACGGGTAACCAGAGGGGGCCACGCGGGCGGCCCTGAGAAGGCGGAGAGCCCGGGCAGGCGGGCACTCCAGCCGCCGCGTCCGGCCTCCCGGTTTGCCCCGGCCGGGGGAGGGCTGCGGCTTCACCGGGGAGGGGCTGGCCGGGGCCGCCGCGGGTGGTGGAGAGACCCTCAGACCGTGGGCGGGCGCATCCGCGTGGGAAATCACTCGTCTCTAAGGTGTCCGTTGTCCTAGATGTAAAATGAAGTGTGCTTTGAAGGCGATCGCCGAGATTCTCTTTAGCTTTAACACTTGGGAATTACAGTTCATTCCACTTACTCCTCCCTCAAAACCCACACCAGCCAACACTGTGGTCCTTCAGATTGTAAAGGCGTCTTCCCCCGGGCTCCAGGGTTTTTATAGTTTTATTTGAGCAAATCTCAAGGAATGGGGTGCTCGATACTGATTTTGCAAAACATTAAGCAAGACACAAATTTGAGGAAATGCCAATTGTATGCCTCAAAATGGTGGGGAAGGGGGTTGCTGATAATCCCTTCCCGCTCTTAAACTTCCTTTGACTGCCACGAGCTGCCTTTAAGTTAAATGATCCTACTAAGGTCAATTTCACCCATCTGCCTGCATCTGCCTGCTGCCTTTGTCCTTATAAGCCATCTGGTCACTACCATCTTCGTCCCCACTTCCCTTCTTAAAGACTGCCCAGCCTTCTTTGAGATAATGAAATTTCAGCCCTATCCATTGTGTAGATTAAATTATGATTCTTAATTGGATCTAAACGTTATTCTTTCTACACATGGGAAGAGTTCACCCAAACATGACCTGTGTGTCAGATGGGTACTAGGCTTATGGGGTGATCATTTCATAAGTTATACTAGTATAAATGTTTAATCACTATGTTGTATGCCTGAAACCAATATGATATTGTATGTCAACTATAATTTAATTTTTTTTACTTTAAAATGTTTTTAAAATTTACTGTATGTTTTTGTAATTTATTGTTAACATAATCTGATGAACAGAATGAGCTGGTGATTATAATAGAATCAGGGGCATAGAAAGGGAATGGACTGACTATTCTTGGGGGGAAAAGGGGTGTGGGGGATGCGGGAAGAGACTGAACAAAAATCGTGCACCTATGGATGAGGACAGTGGGTGGGGAGTGAGGGCGGAGGGTGGGGTGGGAACTGGGTGGAGGGGAGTTATGGGGGGAAAAAAGAGGAACAAATGTAATAATCTGAACAATAAAGATTTAATTAAAAAAATATTTTTAAAGAATAAACTTTGCTTTGTTAGTCTTTTCTCTGGTATATTTTTCTTTTTCATTTATTTCTATTATTATTTCCTTCCCATTAAGTTTTTTCAGCTTTATTTTTTAATTGATAAGTTGTATTTATAATTACTGAGCTAAATGATTAACAGGTCTTTTCACATCTGTTTTTTAATTAATCAAACTTGTTAAAAAGTGAAAACTTAAATACTTGCATATTTTTACATATTCAGATAAGGCATTTCGCACAAAGAATACCTTAAGGATAACTAACTTGCTTATGTGAAGACAAGACATTGAAGTACCAAATATTTTCTATTTTGACCAACTCCTTACATTTTTTAAAAAGATTTTTAGTATTTTATAAACTATTTTAAGACTATTTTTAGAATGGTTTTGCTTAGGTTCCTAGCAAAATTGAGGGGAAGGTAAGGAGACTTCCCATATTACTCCCTGTTCTCACATATGCACAGCCTCTCCATTATCAGCATCCCCCACCAGTGTGATACTTTGTTACAACTGATGAACCTACATGGACACATCATCACCCAAAGTCCATAGTTTACATTACAGTTCACCCTTAGTCCCTCTATGTTTTGAATCTTTATTTACTATTCTTCCTTAACTTCCTTAGAAGTTAAATGAGATCATTTTCAGAATTTTCATAATGAATGGCAGATGGTGCAGCTGTTTTATGATCTTACTTCCCATATGCAGGATTCAGTAGAATGAGATAGATAGGGAAAAACTGACTCTTGAAATGGGTACATGTTAGAAATATTTTGTGTAATACATTTTGCATGATGTCAATGATTCTAGTCTAAATTAATCAAGCCTAATAATTTTCCTATAATGTACATTTTAAGACTATAATTTCCTTCTAATCAGGCATTAACTGAATCCTACAAGTTTTAGATATAAAATGTTTTTCATTCTTTGTAAAATATCTTCTATCTATCTTTATTTTTCAATGTCATCTTATCTTTTGCTCATGAGGTATTAAAAGCATATTTTACATTTTCCAAACATACAGGCATTTTGGAGTAACGTTTTTGTTGTAGATTTCGAGATTCATTACATTGTGGCCAGATAATATACCACAGATGGACTTAATCTTTGAAATTTATGAAAGCTGTGTTAGGCCTAACATAGGTCTGCTTTCATAAATGTTCCATATGTACTTGAGATGTGTATGTGTGTTCTGCAGTTTGGTACAATGCTCCATATGTTGGTCAATCATGTTGTTTAAATTTCCTATATCCTTATGGAATTTTTGTCTATTTATTGTATTAGTTACTGAAAGAGGTATGTTAAAAATCTTCCGCTGTGATTTTGAACTTACATATGTAGTCTTATAATTCTAACAGTTTTTGTTATATATTTTGAAGCTATGTTATTAGTTATGTAACACTAATATAGTGATTCCAGCTTTCTTTAGTTAGTGTTGGCATAGTACATATCTTCACATCATTTTACTTTCTTTCTTTCGTTGCCATTTTTATTTTTTTATTTTTTTTTTTTTGCATCATTTTACTTTCAATCTTTCTGTATCCTTAAGGGTTTAGGTATTATTCTGTCATATGGTTGCCCCTTTGAAGGAAATGTATCTTTAGTCCTCTGGCTGCCCCTAAGTATTTCTCTTTGGTTTTCAGTTTTACTATAATGTGCATAATTATGGCTTCCTTTATTTTTATTCTGATAAAATTTTTATTTTAATAACATCTGAGAATTTTGGTAAAGTTTATTTGTTCAAATATTGCTTTTATGCCATTTTCTTTCTCTTTTCCTCTGGGACTACAATTAAAATTATATATTAGACTTTTTCATCTTATCCACTATTTCTCTTGTGGTCCTTTCTATATTTTCCATCCTTTTGGCTCTCTTAGCCTCACGCTAAATATTTTCTTTTGACTCATGTTCCAGTTAAGTAATACATTCCTGGAAATTCTGCTTCTTAACCTTTTAATATGAAGAAGTAATGAGATATATAAACTCAAAGATTTCCATTAGGACATCAAAAGAATGGCAGAGTGTGAGAGTCCCTTATCCTCTCTCCCTGAAATTGCAATGTGAACCAACTATAATTCAACAATAAATCCTTGCTCAGCACAGACACATGCCTGAGAGACCCGCGCATTTGAACATCTAAAGGTGGGCAACCAGAAATAAGCAGGAAGACAAGAAGGGAGGAATGCAGACGGCCTGCAGACACAGCCCTGCAGTCCGGAGCTCCTGGCTCAGCCTGCCAGGAGAGGGAAGAAAGATGGGGGTGGCAGGTGCTTCCTTTGGCTGGGAGGAACAAAGAGCTGGTGGTGGTGAGTGGGGGGAGCAGGGCAGGGACCACCCAGCGGGGCAAGCAGCCAAGGGAGTGAATAGTATCTGAGTCAGCAGACACCTGACAGAGCATGGGCTTCTACCTTGTGGCTCTCCAATGTTGGGCCAGGAGGGATGTTTCAAACAAAGAAATGGAACCACAGAGCCCTGCCACGGCTTCGACTCCCAAAACTCGCTTCCCATTGCCTTTGGAGTTGGGTCCAGGAGCTTATTATCTGGAAACCAAGAGCTATTGCAGTAGAACTGTTTCCATCTGTGACTGATCCCTAGGATGGGTGCTTGGGGTGTGTTAGGTTAGGTGGCTCAGGAGGCGGCATAAGAAATAAAGAGTCAAGTGAATCAGAAAAGAAAGGAAGGAAGGAAAGTTTATTCTGCGTCCCCGGGAGACCCACGTACCCCCAAGGACAGGGCACGTGGATTCATGCCAACAGGGAGGGGGGCGCTTTTTTTATACTGCGGTTTGGTGAGGGCGGGGGACCTGAGCTGAGGAATTCTCTGCCGCAGGGATCATCAGGGCATTCAACTAAGGAATTCTCTGCCGCAGGGGATGGGCGGGGGTATTCAGAAAGAAGTCAGTATCTGTGTGGGGGTATGTGGATTAAGAGAGAAGAAGCCGGTATCTGTGTCTGGCACGTTGATCTGTGAGAAATTCCAGGGGAAGTCCATTATCTCATCACATGTCTGCATGTATCCGATCCTGGGCTCTCTCCGACCTAACAGTGTGGAACCCCACGGAGGTCAGGGGTTGCCATTATAGTGAAAGCAAAACAAACCCCAGCCCTAAGCAGTAAGGCTGTACTGTCTTATAGCAAATGCAGAAGTTCAAGACTAGGAGATGAGAGATTAAAGAATCTTGCAATTCAGCACCATCTACTGGAAAATAGTAGAAAGAGCTCTTCAGAGATAAATGCAAAGGCAAAGGAGGATAACAAATACCATAAATAATCACAGTAACAAGGACGATCAGAAAGAAAATGAAAAATCTCCAGAAAGCAAGCTGGAACACAAGGAAATATGTGATATAAATGACAAAGATTTCAAGATTGCAGTTCTGAAAATACTCAATGAGATGCGAGAAAATAGGCAATTCAATGCTCTCAGAAAACAAATCAATGAACAAAATGAGTACTTTACCAAAGAGATTGAAACCTTAAAAAAGAACCAACCAGAAATCCTAGAAATGAAGTATGCAATTAAGGAGATTAAGCATGAAATACTGAGCATAGATGGAGGAAGGAATTTGTGATATCAACTATAGGAACCTAGAAGTGACACAGAGGGAAGAAGAGGAAAACTGAGCATAAAGAAAAATGAAAGCGCTCTGCAAGGACTATCTGACTCCATCAGAAAAGCAAGGCCGCACTGTCTATGGGAGAGGCAGAGGCCGCACCTGCCGCTCCGTCTGCCTGTCTGGCTGGCAGGGAAGGGAAAGAACTTGCATGCTGGTGCAGGAACAAGCCAGGTGGGATGGCAGTGAAATCCGGAGTAAAACCAAGCTGGTCCAAGGTGTCCTGCAGGCTGTACAAAGCAGTGTAGTCAGAGTGCCATTTTTTTCAGATAATTCTTTCAAATACCTGAAAGAGAAATTACCAGCCACGAATAATATATCCAGCAAAATTATCCTTTAAATTAG